AAAAATCCCTAGGTAAGATTTATGGCCAACATATAGTAGCCCTTTCTCGAGGCCTTCATCCATCAGTGGATATAGGCGCTGTAATCACTGATTGTCCAGTGAAGTCCAAAAAACCTCAACTCCTAGTCAATCTCTCCTAGTGTCTGGTGATATTACCTGAATTAGCTTCAACGGGGATATTGTTCACCGCTACAGTGGAGCAGCGCTTTCGATTTTTGCCATTTTTCAAGAGGCCAGCAGCGCCTCGCACACTCCATTACAGGTAGGGCTCTCACGGAAGCTCCACTACAACTCTTCGTTATGGGCACCATTGTGGAGGTAGAGGTCCGCGCTGCAGAACTCCAGAAGTTGGCCGAGGCAGCTCGTCAAGAGCGCCTGTACCGCGACGTTTATTTCCTTCGTGACAAGTACCATGATCCGAAATGAATCCGTTAAAGGCAAACCCCGGGATTGGCCCGACTAGTAGGAAGGATACCGCGAGGGAAATTGTAAGGTCCGTACCTACCTAGATCACTCCAGCTTCGTCGCGAAAATTGCGCGGTTAGGGCGCTAATCCTTACGGGCCTGCAACCATCGACCCACCAACGCTTCCCACCCACCGCGAGAGGTGGTGAGATCAGCGTGCATTGATGTAGAGATCAGCGTGCTCTCTCAAACGACGTGCTCTCTCGCGTATTTTGTCTTCTTTGACCGCCCTTTCTCGCCATCGTACCACATCCGACCCTGTTGAAGGTTAAGGCCTTAATTTCAGCGTTCCCAAGAGATTTCTCTTGCTTTCCTTCCCACTTTCAGGTCGTTCCGCAGCTAAGCTATCACTACAGAGCGCTGATAGCACTAGTTCAATCCCGGAGTTTGCCTTTAAAAAATTCTGGAGCTGCGACGAGAGTTCTTATCTCCCGGGCGCGTTTATGGGCTCATGACCGGAAACTCGAACTTCCCAAGCCTATTCTGCCAAAGTCCTCCAGGGCCTTGGGCCTGACAGGGCGAATCGCGCCTGGTTAAGCTCCTTCGAGAAGAGTTAAGCATTGATATCACAAGGATGCTGGATTTTGAATAAAGTACTTCGCCTCAGATAAGATTCGAACCCACTCTTCTCGCTTTCCGGGGCAGTTGTGCTACCGATTACATCTCCTCCGCATCGCTCCACCCCAACCCATCTTCGTCTTAAAGAATAGTAAACTTGAGTAGCTAACATAAGGTGAATGCAAAACTATACCCTCTACTGAAAATTATTATCATAGTCCTGCATGAACTACGGTGGTAATTTCAGAATACCACTCATTATAGCTACAGAAATCGAACACCTTGACTCTTGCAGCCTATAAATCGTATGAATGCGACGAACCTCTTGGTTGGATGGAAACCCTTGCTCCAGCTGTCCTCGTCGTTGGAAGAAAATCCTTTGCCATAGATGTGGTCTCTTGCTGAAAGTTCGCCATTTAACGCATCGCTTGGGAAATTCTATGTGCTCTAGAGGGATAGAAATGTCTCACGCCAACAGTGACAAGTAGTTTCAGGCCGAATTTCATGCCAGCTCGATTAGTGGAATAGCTGAGGGTGGGATCTTCGTTGAATGAGTAACAAGCGCCATAGACTGGATCGAGGACTCGAGTAAAATCCGCCCTAAGACAGACCGTTTTATCGGCAATTCATCTGTTGATGATTTGTGATCTTTTCCAAGAAGGCAGCAAATCTCACGCTGAGCATTTTTTCCCCGAGAAGGTACAGTCAGTGATGAGATCTTCAAATGTGTAGAGAGCGGGAATAAGCTTCTCCTCGCCCAGTTTTGCCGCCTCCAGTACCAGCGCTTCCCACGCACGTTGATCTCTGTCATACTCGGTGTCCATTAGTTCCTAAAACACATTGTAAGATCAGATTGGAAGGAATATGTCAGTATAGTGAATAAGCTCCAACCAAGATTGATAACAACTTTTATTTGGCTTACGTTTCGGCGCTTTCGCCTTCTTCAGAGCCTGGAAAGAGGAAAGCCATTTACGAAACTACCCGTCCAAATACTATTTCAACCTACAAGAATCGCTCAGCAGGGGTAAACTACTAGGGCGACGTCGTGGGACATCGTATATTCTCATACGACTTTCATGCCAAGTTTCATTGAGGAGTCGCAATGGAATTATGGAAGGAATGTTTTTGACACATCTAGCCAGTGTTTAAATATTTTTCTTTATCCCATTGTTTGTTTGTGCCCAGGATGATGGGTGCCGAGGGCCCAGACAGCGGTTCCCAACTGTGCACAGCATGAGGGTAATTTGCGATTTCCCCAAGCCCAACCCAGTTTTCTATTACGGTGTCACTTTGACACCAGAATCATCGAGAATAAAAACATTGACGTGTATATTGGCTAGCCTCAGAAGGCATCTCATAGGACACACCGGTCCAAATACAACTACGAATCTGATCGGAAGTGGAATGCGTGGCACACCCTTCAAAAAAGGATTTATCAACATCGGGAACTTTGTTCTTTAGTTGTTCAAAGATGCTAGCTTCAATTGATCCACCTCTAACAATTTGTCAGCGTTCAAAATTAATGAAAGAATCAAAGGCAAATCTCAAAATTGGACCAAGGGCTGTTTTTTTCCAAACTAGTAGTACTACTAATAATTTTAGTAGCATGATATTTCTAACTCACCTAGCGAAGTGTTCAATTCGTGGTAGCGTCAACAAACGGCTGAGGAAGAGGAGGGGGAGGTGGGACCTGTTTGTTTTCAGATCTGTCGGTATGAGCAGAGTTAAATTTCAAGCCGACGCTGGTTTCTCTGCTAGCTGCCTTGGACCAGTGCGTGTTCGAGTGGGAGTCAGCGCTTTCTGACGCGTCCCGACCTTTTGACGCAAAAAAAACACATTTTCAATTGCAGACGAAACGTTCAGCATTACTAGTATTACTTTATATATGAGAGATGTTTATTTTATTTATTTCACTCTCTACCTATTCTACTCTCTCACTCTTCACTCTATTTATTCTATTATATTATCTATTTTAGTGTTTTATTTTATTTATTTATTTTACTTCATTATTTATTTATTTATTTATTTATTTATACGTCCATGAAGACGCGCCATTGAGTCCAGTATGCGAAATCAATGCAAACATAAAAGAAAAAAGAAAAGAAAGGCTGATCCAGGGAGCCAGCAGTACCCATACGACTGTGAAGACAGCCCTGAAGTAAGTACGTTCGAGACAAACATGTCATGAGAGAAATGATTCTTGACCCAATCGCCGCGAGCTGGCGCCGCGCGTTTTCAAGCTCTGCACCTGCTACCTACAGCGCACTCAACAGACGACTGTGCGCCACTCAGCACCTCGCCAGAGTCAGAAGATTTTTCTTCATAAGAATTTGTGTGGACAGAGGCTGTCTTCTGTCCCAGGGCTGTTGTAGATCCAAACGCTACACACGTCCCCGGCCGCGGGCGGCCGGGGGCGCGGCGGGGGGGCGGGCGGGGGCGCGGGGGCGGGCGGGGGGGGGGGGGGCGGGGGGGGGCCGGGGGCGGGGGGGGGGGGGGGCGCGGCGGGGGCGGGCGCCCGGCCCGGGGGGGGGGGGGGGGGGGGCGGGGCCGCGGGGGCCGGGGGGGGGGGCGGGGGGGGGGGCGCGGGGGGGGGCCGGGCCCTATGGAAGATTTTCTATATTGAGGAAAGAAGGATCAATATACTTCACCAAAATTCCATCTGAAAAACCCGGTCGCCAACGGTGCGCTCTCGCATATGCTGCACACGCTGTAGCACCTTCGTGGCAGCCACCCGCCACCCATTGTCACGGAATTGGGCAAAGGATGTGAAGAAGGTCTACCTGGCTGAGCCAGCAATCGGTAGCTACATGTTTCGGTAATACTATACCTACACCAGTCGGCCATGGTGCCCTTTAGCGCACAAAGGGGGGTCGGCACTTGCTTTGGCGGTTGGCACAGCACGAAGATAAATGATCCGCGGTATATATTTAATTGGAATAGAAGTCAAAATTAATCAATTAATGTCCTAAACAACGGTTTTTCCTTCCTTCCCTTACTGTCGAGCACAGAGTAAGGATACTCATGGCCAATCGTCTCGTTTCCGCCTAAGAGCACGTGCGAAACGGAAACTAGACTACCACTTTTTTCTGACCCCCGTGATAATACATTTATAAAACTAAAATCACTGTAAAATGTAGTACATAAAACCTTTCCCGTGAAAAGTACAATTTTATTTGTGAATCAATTAGGAATAAATAAAAAAAACCACTCGCATAGAGTCCGTAGTCGTCCGCGGCCGTCAACGATTTGCTGGCAGCTTCTTTGTAAACCTCCATAAGATTCATGATACTGCTGAGATTACTGTTCGGATCCGATACCACTGAGTATTTGTATGGATTGGAATTGCATACGGTAACCACAGGAAAGTTCTGAAGTTGTAAACCAGCTGTTCTTCTTGATTTATTGACTACCTCATTTCTGGCAAAGGTAAATAAACAAAAAAATGTTGCTTCCGGAATCAAAGCAACGGAAACGGAACTAACTACCTCCCAGAACAAAAATGTTAATGTGAGACGCTAAGTATGCAAAAGCGAAAGGCGATATTCCTATTTAAAACATGGTCAACTGCTCAAATTTCGGATCGAATCTGGTCCCAGTCAACTAGCAATAAGCCATGCATCTCTACATGGCCAGCGGAATGGTATTGGACTGATCTGGTAGAACGAAACACTGAATTCCACGTCAGCTGGCCTTGCAAATATTGGTACAGGCCATTCCGCATTCAAATGCCTCTACGATACCAATGGTCAGTCGAATACATGGCGCATCCCAAAAATGGATCGACCGCGCCGAATGTTCCACTTTTTACTAGTTCTCTCTTCATGAAACCTCGGCATCGTTGTTGAATTTTGTGTTCTTCTTCTGCCAACGAGGTTTTTAGGTAACAAATTTATTCACGGCCTGACGTTTCGACCCGATCGTCTTCCTCAGGTCGTGAATAAATTTGTCACCTAAAAACCTCGCTGGCAGAGGAAGAACACAGAGTTCCATTTTTAATCCTGAGTCTCAAGAAGTCCTCTATCCCATAAGGGTGCGTAACTAAGGAAAGAGCGGAAAACTGTGAAATCCAAGACTATTTCAGAATAAGAACCTGTTCGTTGAAAAAGATTTCCGTATTAATATTACTGGGAAAAGATATGAATTTGATGATCATCGTGTAAAGTTGATAGATGAACCGTAATAACCATTTGCGATAAGACATGCGACCAAATAGTCGCCATTGCTGGAAAAGGGGGGGGGGAAAGTGAGGCCGTCAGCATGCAGGTAGCACCAGGGCTAAGCAGTACCTTGGTCCTGGCATTGGCGATATGAGGCACACCGCAGACGGTCGACCAATTGGCGAAGTCATGCAGAACCTGTGCAAGGCCCATTGCCTCGGCTTACCGCCGATGAGCAGCAGGTTGCTCTCGGAGTGACAACAGGGTACAATTCCTTCACAACTGCTGGTTGGGAAGGAGGCCGTCTGCATAATTCACTAGGAACACTAGGAAGTGAGGAAAACGAACTCTCGATGTGTTTATTTCAAGGTGAGGGAACGGGAATTGGAATGTTTACTTCACTTTTAGTAGGGCTCCTTAAATACTACTAATGGGGTGCGATTAGAGTACCTTTCCTTAGGGTTAGAGGATGGAAGTTCACGTAAGATTTTCCATCGCCCGACATTCGTATATCGGATTGTAGATCGTACAAGTATGTGTATATCTGAATATGTGTACCGATAGGTGATTCTGATTAAAAGGATAAAGGATAAAGCATTTGCCGTTGATCAATCCCTTTTTGGGATGCGGCACGCATTCTACTTCCATTTGTACATTCGTAGTGGCGTTTGAATGCGATGTGGCCTATACAATGACTTGCGGGGGCCAGCCGATGTACAAGTCAGTGTTTTTATCCTCCCAGACAAGTCTGGTACCAATTAACCGACCCCGGAGGGATGGAAGGCTTGGTTGGCCCGGGCGACTCACGACCCAGGATTTGATCCCCGGACCGCTCGCGTGGTGAGCGCGCCACTTGTCACTACACCACTTCCGCCCTGGAGGCTAACGAAATATTTATAACCTATCAAGAAATATAAGAAATAGGGGAGAGAGGGGAAGCGGCAGGAGTAAGTCAGCCGACGACAGCCGACAGACTTTTCGCTAGCTGATGTATTGTCGGTGAGGTGCTACGACTGATGGCAGTGCTACGCGCCGTAATTCGAATCCTGGCTCTGCATCAAAGCACAGGACCGACATTTACTGTGTTACTTCCTGTTTGATTTTTTCGTTTTATTCTTTGCGTATTGGATTCTTTGTTCCAGTCCTTGATTTTCAGTCAACTACTGGCTCTGGTGGCGCACCTTTTGTGCAATAAATAAATAAATAAATAAATAAATAAATAAAATAAATTAAAAAATCTGCGAAATAAACATTTCGGTTTTTTTCCATGAGGGACCAGAGACGAGCTCTGATAGACAACTGCTAGTTGAAAGGCGAAGTTTGCAATGAAAATGCAGCCCATAACAAATCAAGGTAGAGGTGGAGGGTCTCAGGACATCTGTCAACCGTGAGCCTTGGCGGTTCAGCGTTTTGTAGTGATGTCTGGGAGCTCTCACAAGTGCACACTATCACAGCATCTCCTCTTTCTTTATCTTCTTCAAAAGGCTTAGTCCCAATAAGACACAAAGTGTGTGCTTTTCCAGCTACGCTCTCACCCTTTGGTTGACAGAAGCCTTGTAACCAGGTGGTCAGTAGTGCAGAGATTGAGAAAAAACCATGAGAAAAGGCTCGGAACGCTAGAAAGCCCCCCTCCTTTGCCCGTTGATGATGCGAATCTCATCGGTGCACATAATCCTGCTAGGGCCGCATCTTATCCTTCTCCCAGGCTAGATGAACAAAACGTCCTTTAAATCTATTTGTTTTCAGAAACACAGTTCCTTTACTTTCCGTACATGCTTGCTTTTACACACTTATTTAAATGACAAATGTGCACATTCTCAGGGCGATTTTTGTTGGAAAGACAAAGAAAATTCGAAGGGATTTTGTGTTCCCCTAGCCTGGGGGAAGGATAGGATACGTCTCCTAATCGGCTAGGGTCAGACGGCGGGAGGGTGGGCGTGTCGCGACTCGGGTATGGCCCTGCTGGGCCGCTGGGGATACTCTCCGCTGCAAACGCGCATCATTCCGCACCCTTAGGGACCTCGTCTGCCTTTCGACTAGGTATATTTTTCCCTCTTCGACCTCCGATCTTGTCGTGGAACCCTTCAACTAACACCAAACCAATCCACACTTTTTCACAACGTACGAAAAATTCCATACAACCCCAAACACCTAAGTGCTCCCCTATTGTCCTTTACAAACTCATTCTGCTTGCAGTCAGCTTGTATCACCGGCGCGAATGAACTGAAGAAGGCACCAGCATGGGAACATGTGACTAACTTCAAAAAGATTTTACTTTCTCGAAAAAATCCCATTAAGTCCAGATCTTTTCCAAACCACGATGAATCTTACTACAGTATTTCCCATCGTGAACACAACGTCTTCCTTCATTTCACCTTACCGGAACGGAGTAAACATTGCGTAGACATCAGTTGACAGAAAGTGCATGAAGGAGGAGCTTGCTCCATTGCGAAAGTGGATGCTCTATTGCGAAAATAGTCACCGGACAACAGTTACCTCTGAGCGTCCCTCGCACGCCACTCGGTAACCATATAAAGCTGCCGACAACCCAGCGGAATGAATTGCAAGCTTTGCGCTCTCCGTCCGCGTCCTACCATTAAACAAAAGTCGCTATATTTCTTCGAAAACAATTCAAATCCGCCGGGGGGGGGTTGATCGTCGTGCACACATCGGCGCCGCATACCACCCCGAGGAAGGATCTTCATTCGACGGAAAACGAATTGCCTTTTCACTTGAGGTGGTAGAGCAAACTCCATGGCTATTGACCCGCCGCCAGAGGGACTGAACCGCACCGAGACCGCCACAATCTGACTTTACCCTAGAGAATCCCATTCAACCCAATAAGTCGACGACGAGCGGAGCCGACCAAATTCAACTATTTTCTTTGGGAAAATTCTTCAGCAGGGATCGCGAAGAGAATGTTTCCCCATGATTCTTCCCTCATTTGCTAATGCTAGACGATTCATCTACCCCTTTCTACCCGGTGAGACATCTGACATTTTGCTGCGCCCCCGGCAACTACTCCTTCATTTACAGTACCCGGCCCCTCGCCCCCCCCACGCGTCACACCCTTCCTGCCCGGACGCCTCCCAGCGTGCCGAGCCTCCCAGCGGCCCCCTAGTCGTCCCCTCACACTCCATTTCTCTGGCAAATCACTGTGTAATCAATAATCTACTTGGGATTTTGAAGAGGGTCTTGCAAGCCGTCTGAGGTGTAGTATTTTGGCAAATTACAGAAGCTATCTGATTTGTGTGCTTTATTTCCTCCCGCATTCAACATTTGGGACAGTTGTCGTTCTTCGCCGAGTGCACCGGAGTTATATTTCATCACGTTTGAGTCTTTTTCTCAATCTTTGCGGTTTTTTCAAGGTTTCTTTCTTATTCTCATTCGAGTATGATGTTTGTGGTTTTGGAGAGTGCTCTGTGTTATGGTCTACACTCTGCCCCAGGAGTGTTTGCTAATATAGTATTCTATCAAACAGAATCTAACTGTTTATTTGTCTTTCGTTGTTTCTTCGCAGTGCTTTGTCGATCCTCGAAGTATCAGGTTAGATTTGCTGATTAAGGTATGTTACGCGTTTGTATGAATGGAAGGAACAGTCGCGAATTCATACAAAACGGAGCTGGTTATTTAATTAGGTTGAGATGTCTTTCTTCCACGTCTTCACCTCTAGTTTCATGTAGTTCCATTAGTGATAAGGTGAGTGCACTAATTATAATCGTCACAGCTGACTTTTGATTTTACTTTTTACTTTTTTCAGAATAAAAGCTCTTTGTCACAAAACGAGGCTAGCTCCGGTTGGCTGTCAAAAAAGATTCATGTTTGAAACAGCGATTCGTAGCGCGAGCTAAGAGATACAGCTCACTTCGGTTTGCTTACTTCCTAAAGGTTTCAAGATAGTTTTCTGATTCCGCGATGCGCGCCACCGTCTCCGCGAAAAGAAAGGGAAGGAGCCATCAGATACACACGCTACACTATCAGGTCAAACCCTTGTTAGTCATGCCGTGCTCAGCGTTTAGACTTTTCCGGCGTTCTTTTTGATCCAATCAAAACCACATCATTTGCTTACGTCTTACTCATTTGCAGACACTAAAAAGAGTAAAAGCTCCGGCAGCGGCGGATCGGGTGGAGCCTTCGATCAATTGTAAGTTGTTTCTAAGTCTGTTTATAATATCAGAAAAGTTGAAACTTTAAGTAAAGGTGCTCACGGAGCGGGCGGCCCGTGGCATTACTTCGAGGTTTGTGATAACGCCTCTCAGTTTCAAAACTAAGCCTCAGAAGAAAAGGGGGGCTCCGGGGCGCGTAAGCAGTTTTCATTTTCCCCTGCTTACTTATTCACTCGTACTGTAAAGCCGTGGTTCTGAAGCACATTTCTTCAACATTGTGCTCATTTCTTCCTATCATCGCGGTTTTTCTTCGGTAATATTTAAGTAGCTCAACCTGAACACGACAAAATCGACCTCTACTAAACGCTCATGGGGTGTTTTCGTTCTCACGAGAAATTTTCATGCCATTATTTTACTTTTACGCTTCTTTACCTGGTATAAATAACGCATTTTGTTGTACACGTAGAGCCTTCTTTCATGCAGTGTAGATAATTATTCATTGTGAGGCTTAAACAGCCATCCAGAGAAAGGGGTCTATTAGTACATGCGATGTTTTGAAGTATCCATTCACTTTTTCTGAAGTCACATAAAAGTCAAATATGCTTCTAGTTTTGATTGCATATGAATAAATGTGTCTCCATGGCAATTCTTGCCGAAATTTTCGACAGTTTGTAAACTGAGGTTTTTCTTTATCTATAAGTTCCAGTGAAGTTTTCACGATATAGGAGTTGATGAAAATGTGGGGCATAGGTCGAGCATGGATTGGTTTTACAAGAGTTGTAGAGAAGAAGTGTTCGACATGAAATAGTATTTATCACTAGTTTCATTCTCATTTGTGTATGTTTTAGACCTGGCGGCTGGCAGCAATTCGCAGTCAGTATCGGTGTTATTATAGCTATTTATTTAATCATAGAGTATCAATCATACAGAGAAATATCATGGAAAGAATTCTTTCACGAATTCCTTGAACCTGGCATAGTAGGTTTTGGCTTTGTTTCTTCTTTGTCTCGGAAATCTATTAGAAAGTTTTCTCCTGTACAAACTTGTTCCAGGTTGACCGTTTGGAAGTTGTAGATAAGAGATGGGTCCGTATTGTTTCTTCAGCAAAGACGGGGGTATGTACGCCTCATTTCAGTATAAATCTCTACCTAAAGATTCAACCAAACGTTGTTTCCTTCCAGCAAACGTGTTACTTCAACATTGGGAGTGTAGATAGCTTCGAGCGAAGTTTAGCTGCTGCACAAATGCATTTGGGGTATGACGCCGACCGACAAATCCCTGTCCTGTACAAATCAGAATTCGATTTGTAAGTTATCAGCTTGAGTACACAGTACAAAGCACAGCATGCTTCACCAGTCTCAGCTGTCAAGAAAAGTTGTTCTTTGAATACATATTGCTCTTTAGGAAGATATTGCGCGTATCCCAATCCCTTCCCTCGAGGTATGATGGAAACCTGAACCATTAATTAAACAGTGACACATAGATGCAATTACATAACGATAAGCACAAGAAAAGACAAACAATTCTACTTTGAGTAAAGGATCGGCATGCTCCAAAAACCATCCCGCAACAGCATGGCCAGCCTCGTGATATGCAACTGTTCGTTTCTCTTCTGGTTGCAAAACCTGGAAATAAGATCGTATATCTACATAAAACCTCACCTTCTATGTACTTTGATAGATACCTGACTCTTCTTTTTCCATACCAGCAAACAACCCTCTCGATGGCCTGTTCGAAATTCTTTTGGCTTATCTCTTCTGAAGCATCTCTGGCAGCAATCAACGCAGCTTCGTTACAAACATTAGAAATGTCAGCACCAAAAAAGAGGTAAATCGGCTTTAACAAACACTCC